CCAACCCCCACTTTTCTGAGATCCCACCTGTCTCCCCCAACCCCTATACCAAGACCCTCTGCACAGGTACTGCTTAGCTAGTGACTCATGCCTGTAATCCTAGCTACTCAGGAAGATGAGATCTGAGGATTGTGGTTCAAAGCCAGCCCAGGCAGGAAAGTCTGGGAGCCTCTTAACTCCAGTTAATCACCAGAAAGATGAAAGTAGAGCTATAGCTCAAGTGGTAAAACAATAGCCTTGATACAAAAGCTACAAAAGAATGTAAGACCCTGAGTTCAAGTCCCAGTACACACACACACACACACACACACACACACACACACACACACACGCACACACGCACGCACACACAATGGATTCCCTATAAGTAAGGACAAGCCTTCTAACAAGGCTTCATCTTAATATTGTATTATTATTTTATCTCTGTATTTTCTTTTCTTTGTGCCAGTAGTACATTGGGATTTGCACTCTCTCACAGCTGACTGAAACCAACCATCCAGCAGGGTTTGTACTGCGACAGGCAGGTGGGGTGCTGGACACCATTTGGGGATGGAGGAGGAGGGACTGATGGAATAGGGAAGAGGCAGCACTCTGGCTGAGATCATTTGACAGGATTCTGTAGCAAATGGGCTCCTGAAGACATAACCCAACTGAAACGGGCTTCAGAGAGCCTAACCAGAGTCTTATCAAGCAGCGTCTTGGCCAGGAGGCTACAACCAAACATAGATCACTCCTATACTTACTTACTTGTCTACCTGCTGCAGAAAGTAATATTCTAGGTAATTTCTCTAGGCGCTACCCATCCTACTTAAAAGTTATGTGGGGGAAAAAACAAATGATTTGAACCTGTTTTCCCTATGTGCACCTCAAGGCATCTGGTCAAATGCAAGTGGCCATATGTATGCAGTTCAGTTCCTTCTCTGTCCCGGCTGCTGATCTGCTACATGGTAAGCAGCTCTAGTTACAGTTATAGGCTCTCAGAGTGTCCTGGGGAGCACTGTACAAGATGTTCAAGGGAGCACTCTTGCAAGATACACTAAGGTGTATCCCTGGGGAGCACTCTCCAAGGTGCGCTGGGGAGCACTCTGCAAGATCCACTGGAGAGCACTTTGCAAGATGCGCAGAGGAGCACTCCTCAAGATCCAATGTAGAGCATTCTGGGATGCCTTAGGGAGCACACTTCAAGGAGTACTAGGGAGCACTCTGCAAAGTGTACTAGTGGATGGGGAGCACTCTGCAAGATGAACTAGGCAGAGACAACCAAAGCTAGCTAGAGAACAGTGTTAAGCATTTGTGCACACATCCTATAGGCTCTTTCTACCAGGTTGCTCCCCCAAACCTGAAACCAGTGTTTTCCTGTTAGAAGGAGTAGGAAGTAAGGGTCTGGGTGGAAAGAAAGCTGTCCTGCTGAATTGAATGGACAAACTCTGATAGGTGTAGTCATTTTCTATGTACAAAGAGGGAAAGAAGGAAAATGAGAAGAGATGGTCTCTAGCAAGGGGGGAGATGCCCATTTTTAAAGGTCCAAGCCAGTGCTAGCTGGGACTGCCATAGTTAGGGGCTTGTATTCTCTTTGAGGTCTTCTGCTCCCCTGTTCACTCCACAGCTATTTACTGCATTTAATGAAGAGGATTGCAAGGCATTTTAATCACCTGGTTTTACTGAGGGAAATAAAAACATCAAAGTAGACATTTATATTGGGGGTAATTTAATATTTTATATGCAGTTTACTTTGTAGTCTAGATTACCAGTAATTACAGAGTCTCTGTGTTTATAAGGCTTTGAAGTATGACAGTCAACTCAAAAACTTGATCGTGGCCGTGAGCCTCATACTGTAACTTAATTCCTTGAAAACATCTTCTCTGAATTTCTAGTGAATTCAAGATTTCTCCTGGGTTCAGGGTGTACAATGGTCACTTCATGAATGTCTTAGCCTAATACTTGCAAGTGATTGTTTGTTTGTACTGGTGCCGGAGTTTGAACTCAGGCCTTCCTGATCTCATGTGGCTTTTCCCCTCAAGGCTAGCATTCTACCACTTGAGCCATACCTCTATTTCCAGCTTTTTGATGGTTAATTGGAGATGAGAAGTCTTACAGACTTTCCAGCCTGGATTGGCTTTGAACCACAATCCTCAGATCTCAGCCCCCTGAGTGGAAAGGATTACAGGTGTGAGCTACCTACTCACACTTCTTTTCTTTTTCCTCTTTTCCTTGTTCTCTTCCCCTTTTTCCTCCTCCTCCTTCTCCTTCTCCTTTTCCTCCTCCTCCTCCTTTTCTCTCTCCCTTCTTTCCTGTGTTGTAACATAACCCAGGCTGCCCAGATCAAAGCCAGATTGTGAAACACTGGCTCTGCCTGAGACTTGGATGCTTTCTTTTGCCAGTAAACAATGCATCCCTTCCCCCCCCACCCCCCAGTGTCACGTGCACATGCTTTGATCCCACTCTGAGGCTGTGTGTGGGAGGCTCTCTTCAGTTCTCACAGCCCTCACCATGACAGAAGTGCTCAGGAAAACCACACATATGTCCCGGCACGGTCACAAGTACCAGAACAGCCACTGCTCCCTCCTGCCATGCCCTAGATATCGCCAAGGGAATTCTTAGTGACTAACTCACCTCCCGCTGGACCTCTCTCAACCCGTCATGGTAGGCATTGAAGCCATTCAGTGGCTCACATCTGTAATCATAGCTACTTGGGAGGCTGAGAAAGGAAGGATCAAGGTTTAAGGCCAGCCAGGGCAGAAAAGTTCTCCAGACTCCCTTCTCAACTCATAGCTGAGTGCAAAAGCTCATGTCTGTTATCTCAAATTACATTAGAGACCAAAATTGGGAAGATCGTGACTAGACTCTAGCAGGAAAGTCCTCAAGACTCCATCTCCACAAAGGGAAGATTAACACAGTGGGGCAAGCCTGTGATCCCAGGAAAGATGGGAAGCCTTGAAACAGGCAGATAGTGGCTCCAGGAGGCAGAGAAATAAGACCCCCACCTAAAAAGAACCAGAAAAAGCCAGCCCTGGTGGTTCATGCCTATAATCCTCACTAGTCAAGCAGATTATGGCTTGAAGCCAGCCTGTGCAGGAAAGTCCAAGAAACACTTATCTCCAATGAAAGAAAACCAGAAGCGGGACTGTGGCTTAAGTGGTAGTACGCTAGCCTTGAGTGAAAAAGCTCAGTTACAGTGCCCAGGCCCTGAATTCAAGACCCAGGACCAGCCAAAAAGAAAAATGAAAGAACAACCAGCAAAAGACTGGGCTGGAAAGCATAATTCAAGTGGTAGAGTACCAGCTTAGCAGGCCACAAGGCTCTGAATTTAAACCCCAATACTGAGAAGGAAAAAAAAGGGGGGGAGTGGAATTTTAAAGTCAGACAGAGCATCCAAAAGGAGAAAAGATATCATTCACCCAAAAGATGAACGAGCTAATTAGTAAAAAGGCTAGACTGATTAGTAGCATTTCTTATGGAGTAGTATACTACCCAGAGCAGTATTGTATTTATGCTAGTTTGGCCAATAAGTACAGCTTAGTTGATTTAGTATATAAAGATGGGTGGAGAAATAAATGTCGGTACATTTCATGGACAGATGAAGATTTGAACTAGCCGAGACCTGCATTCTAGCCCTGTATCCAGGGCTGCCATTGAGAAAACTAAGACCCTAAGAATTTCATCTGCACCTGCTTCCTCAGCCACATCTGTTTGGTGTTCTTGGGTTTGCTCAGCTTCTCTCTGCAAAGGTCTTGCAATTACAAGGACTATCACAAAGCACTGGCGGCCACTGTTGTGAGTGAGCACCCTGCCAGACACCTCCCTGTATGTATGAAATGCACATTAAAGAAACCAGCACAAGATGTGGAGCTCACACCTGTAGTTCTAGCTACTCAAGAGGTTGAGCATTGAGGATCGAGGTTTGAAGCCAGCCCTGGCAGGAAAATCCATGAGACTCATATCTCTAACCAGCAAAAAGCCGGAAGTAAAGACATCACTCAATTTGTAGAGTGCCAGCTTTGAGTAAAGAAGCTAAGGGACAGCCCAAGGTCTTGAGTTGAAGTCCCAGTTCTTGCACTCTTCCCATCCCCCCAAAATGACCTAACACACCCTACAATGTGGTGGTTATAAAGAAACTGCCAGTTTCAAACCCTGGCTCTAACTGTACCATGGCCCCTTGTAGAAGGATGCCTCTTTTCTCTCTTCCTCTCTTGCCAGTGCAGCACACAGATATTGCCTTTTCTTTTCCTTCTCGTGTGTGTGTGTGTGTGTGTGTGTGTGTGTGTGTGTGTGTGTAGTACTGGGTCTTGAACTCAGAGTCTGGGCACTGTCTCTGGGCTTCTTTGTTCAAGGCTAGCACTCTACCACTTGGCATAGCTCCACATAAGGCTTTTTTGGTGATTCATCGCAGTCAAGAGTCTCATAGTCTTTCCTGCTTGAGTTGGCTTTGAATCTCAAATCTCAGCTCTCAGCCCCCTGAGTAGCTAGGACTACAGGCGTTAGCCACCATGCCCAACTTCTTTTTGAACAAATATGTAAGCATCTTTCTGCGTTTAGGTCTTCAGTTGCTGAGCATGTCAGGGCACTTTGGTGCACAGATTTCCAAGCATTCACGCTCATGAAGGAAATCTTTCCCGTGCTGAGCTCCGGCTCTTAGTGTGTCTTCATTCATGCTTCTATTCTGCATTGAGCTATAAGTCCGAACAGTTTCCTGACTTAGTTCCTGCACCGTCCCAGGACTGGCTCAATTGGCAAAGAAGATGCCACGATTCTACCCTAATCTAACAAGAAAGCCACAGCAAGAGTCTGGAGATCATTTCTTCTTTCTGGCTGCTACCCCAGAGTAGATGACTAAGAACTCAGTAAGGGAGATGATTAGCCAGGGAAGGGCCACTTCTGTGTAGGAAAGGCGATGCTGGTTAATTATGACACCAGATCTCCACTTTCTCCCCCTCTAAGTTCCTTCGCTGTTCTTCGCCACTTGAAGTTAATGGCTGTCTGTTGCCTGTTCCCCTTGGCAGGAGTGTGGCTTCGGCTATGGGGAGGACGCGCAGTGTGTGCCGTGCCGGCCGCACAGGTTCAAGGAGGGCTGGGGTTTCCAGAAATGCAGGCCGTGTCTGGACTGTGCCCTGGTGAACCGATTCCAGAAAGCCAACTGTTCCTTCACCAGCGACGCCATCTGCGGAGACTGCTTGCCAGGGTGAGTGGCCACAAGTGCAGCGTCCTCTATGTATGCTTCCACACTGAACAACACTGATGCTTACCCAGAGGCATCTGCAGAGATCTGGTGGCGTCTTGTCTCCATATCCACTTCGGAGGGTCTGGGGGCCTCTGTGCTTACTTGGTGCCAAGTTGCTGGTGACAAATGGCATCAACAGGTGTGTTAACAAAGAGAGCAGTGTCAGGAAAACCTCCTGAGGTCTTGCAGACCATTGTCAAAGAAAAACTTAAACAGATCAAGAAGTAAATAAGCAACTCATGAAGAGACCCAGCTGGGCAGTGGTGTCATCCTAGCTACTCAGGAGGCTGAGATCTGACGATCACGGTTTGAAGCCAGCCCAGGCAAGACAAATCCAAAAGATTCTATGTCCAATGCCAGTGCGTGGCTTTTCCATCTGCTTGTGTGTGTGTGTGTGTGTGTGTGTGTGTGTGTGTGTGTGTGTGTGTGTGTGTGTCTACCTCTTCATCTGGAAAATGGGCAAAGAGGAAGTTCCCAGGAGTGGGAATGGCTGAGATCAGGCAGTCTTCTGAGAGGGGCAGAAAAGAAGAAATTAAAGACTTGATTCCCCCCCACACACACACACATGCTCGCCCCAAAGCTACCTTCTGGGTATTTTCAGAAAACCCCTGGAGATTTCCTCATGCTTAACCCCATGGCTGTTATCTGAGCCCCAGGACTGGCTTCAGTTTCTTCACTGTCACCTCATTCTTTAAGTAAATACATCATTTGGGGGCAAGTTAAAGATAAACAAACACTTGAATGACTGCTTCACAGTTTATTTATGTGATTAGTTTTAAATTACATCCTTTCCAAGCCAGCATTCATGAGAAGAGAGCAGGTGGTTTGTTTCATAGTGATTGGCACTCAGGTCTTTTGAGAACATTGTACACATGGATCATGGTTCCAAGCCAGCCCAGGCAGGAAAGTCCTTGAGACTCTTATTCCAATTAACCACCCAAAAGCCATGAATAAAGGTGTAGCTCAAGTGGTAGAAAGTCAGCTTTGAAGGAAAAAAAGCTAAGGGAAAATGCTCAGAACCTGAATTCAAGCCCCAGTACTAGGACAAACAAACAAACCCCAACACTTGATTTATAAGGTGTTTGATACTTTCAATTGCACCAGAAATGCCCCCAAATAGCTGATTTCTTATTCTCCCACTATTACATCATCCCAATATAGAAAAGGGGTACATTGGGGAGAATCATAAAGTTATCGATACTTCAGATGTATTTCCTGCCTGCCCAGAATGGCCACCAAAGGATTTGCCTGTCCACAATTCTACTGTATTTCAGCTTTTGTATGTATGTTGGTACTAGGCCTTGAACTCAGGGCTTTGCACTTTTACTTAGCTTTTTGGCTTAAAGCTGGTGCTCTACCACTCCAGCCATACCTCCACTTCCTTTGGGTGCTTATTCTTTAAACCATAGAACTAACCTTGGAGATCATGGATAATTTGTGTTGTTAACTCATGTCACTATGACTGTCAACTCAGATAACAGAGCTAATCAGAGTCATTTTCCTTTCTCTTCTAGATTTTATAGGAAGACGAAACTTGTTGGTTTTCAAGATATGGAGTGTGTGCCTTGCGGTGACCCCCCTCCTCCATACGAACCGCACTGTGAGTGATCGTGTTCCAAGCTGGGCACAGGGGACAACCAGCCTTTTACTGTGTTATGTTTTAGAATTTTTCTTCTTTCCTTGGCAAATGGAACAAAAATCTCTCTCTACCATTGGCCATTAGATACCCTGCTTTCCAAAGTGGTCCTCCACATGAGTCTTCATTCCTTCCTTTTTCTTGTTGAACAAATCAGTGAGAAGAGAAAGCTCCTTGTGTACTGGGAATATGGCTTTACCTAACACAATGGAGCCTTGTCTCTGTGAGTTAACATTAGTTCATCTCTTTGATCCTGTGCTTTCCTTAGAGATAAAAGGTATTTGTTTCCAATTTTCAATCTGCATGGATTTGGCACAGAAGAAAGGATGACTGTTCGCCCTCTTAGTGCTAAGTATACAAACCTGGCCAACAAACCCTTCTCCCAGGTTATATTATGGTTGCCAGTGCCCCAGCAGGGATTGGGGGAAAACTATGCCTCATCCTCAAAGAAACCGTGATGACCAGGCAAGAGGGTAAAGGAACATGCTCTCTTCCTCACAAGAGCTACACTGGCCTTTTGTGAGGGCGATGTTTTGTTTTTTATCTTGTTATTTTGATGCTGGCACGGAGGCTTGATCTCAAGGCCTTGCACTCTTGCTTAGACTTTTTGGCTCAAGGCTGGTGCTCTACTACTTGGGTGAAGCTCCATTTCCAGCTTTTTCCTGGTTAATTGGAGATAAGAGTCTCATGGACTTTTCTGCCCAGGCTAGCTTCGAACGTCAATCCTCAAATCCCATCCTCCTGAGTGGGTAAGATCACAGGCATGAGCCACCAGCACCCAACACTGCTGACTTTTTCTTGTTATTTTCTAAAGATTTCATTCTTTAACTAAAGTGTACAAATCTACGATGTCATAGATAGTGAAAGATGCACTTATTTAATGTGAATAATAATCTATTTCTCCATGTATGAGACCATTTGGAAAGCAAAATACATTGTTTTTCCACATCCAAAATGCAACGTGCTCAGGAGAGAGAAGACCGTCTGGAGCTGTAGTGAACAGCACTGGTGCTTATCTTTCTTCTAGAAAGTTGGAGTCTTTCGCTGTTCCTAGGGATCTTTCCAAAACACAGCTAATCTCTTCATAGGAGAGTCTGGCATGGTTGAGAGGAAATTATACACTGTGCCTTATGTTTTCCTTCTTCTCCTTTGGGTTTTTGAACTTGGGTACAAAGAGTTTCTTCTGAGGTGTATGCCCTCAGGCTATCCAGAAGGGGTACTTCAAGGATGGGGCTTGTGTCAAGGGTCAGGAGGCAATGCAGAGGCTGAGATTTCCTGGGTCTCAGGAGTAACCCTGTGCTGCTGACTTACCTCTTGGCTCCTGGCTTCTAACACTTTTTGGATGCTCAACTCTTCTCTCATGGTTCTTTGGAGCTGCTGTCTTATGCATGCAATTGACTGTCCTAGATATGTGGTATTTAGTAGAGACTGTGTGAGTGGTTCTAAGAAGAACTGGGAAGGTAATGTGGCAGGCATACAGCCCCACTCAATAGCCATCACGGGGTGTTGCGGGAAATTTCATAATGTAATCTAGAATGTCTAAAACCGAGCGCTGGGGGTGTGGCTCCAGTGATAAAGGGCATGGCTCAAACGGTGCTATAGTTTAACTGGCAGGAGGCATGGCACAAGTGGTAGGGGTATGGTTCAAGTGATGTGGGCATGGCTCAAGTTGTAGACAGCCTAGACAGCCTGCCTGGCAAGCTCAAGGTCCTGAGTTCAATCCCCAGTCCTGTAAAAAAAGAAGGAAGGAGGAGCTGGGAAGGTGGCTCAGTGGTAGAGCGATTGCCTTGCATGCATGAGGCCCTGGGTTCAATTCCTCAGCACCACATAAGCAAAAAAAGCCAGAAGTGACACTGTGGCTCAGGTGATAGAACGCTAGCCCTGAGCTGAAGAGCTGAAGGACAGCGCCCAGGCCAGAGTTCAGGCCCCACAACCGGCAAAAAATTTAAAAAAAAAAAAAGAAGGAAGGAAGGAAGGAAGGAAGGAAGGGGAAAGAAAGAAAAGGAGTCTAAAACTGAGCATCATGGTATGTGTTTGCAATTCTAATTACTCACAAGGCTGAGTCAGGAGGATCAATTGAGACAGCAGTTCAAGAGTAGCATAATCAATATAACAAGACCTTCCCAACTTAAAAAAAATAGAGAAGATTGGAAGTGTGGCTTAGTGACAGAGCTTGCCAACGTACATGAGGCCTGGGTTGTATCCTCTGTATTGGAAAAGACAGCAAACAGGGGGGGGGAGGAGGAGGAAGAAGAGGAGGAGAAGGAAGAGAAATGTCTTATGTAGAATTTTCAATCTTTGCAGCTAGTAACAAGGTGGAACATAACTGGGAACTGTTTAAGTAGGCTTGGATTCCTGATTTGCTCTGTACTGATGTACAGCCTCAGGCAAATCATCACCCCTCTTTGAACCTCTGTTTCCTGGCCTGGAAAATGGGGACACATGAGCTCCCTACCTGCAGATTTGGGAGAGAACCAAATGAAGAAGTCTTGAGTGTCAGCCACAGGGACAACCAATACCCTCACTTCCTCTTTTCCATCCACCACGGCTATTTACTTTGCAAGGCTGCACACAGACCTGTGGGGAGGTCATCACAGTGGACCGGGCCCCGAGGTCCAGCTCACTGGTGGGTGAGCAGCGAGAGACACTTCATAGGAGCTGCCATGAAGCTAGAAGTTTGATAAACTCCTGCCATAAGACTGAGACGCAGGGCACCCCCCCCACTCCATCTGCTTTCTTGTCTTTCTCATTGCCAAGCCTCACACCCCACCAAAAGAGCACCCCTCACACACACTCCTGAACTAATCATGGATTTGTGATGCTCAGTGGTCCCACAGGTCACTAATTAGTCATAATGACCGATTGGGCATGGGGCACAGTCTAAGTAGTGCCATTAATACAAATTACCATTGAGTTAAAAGGTCCTTTCTAATGGAATTCTGGATGCAGGCTCTGCTCCAACTTCTTCCACACCTAATAATGGAACGCACAGAAGAAATAGAAGAAGGAAGAAAAAAAAGCAAGACATTTTAGAACCATATCCTTCCTGCCTTGGGTCTGATAAGAAAGGCAGATTTTTGTGTGATTTCTTTGAGCCATATTTGCTTTTTTGGAACAAATGGCTTTGAAAAGCATTCAAAGTGGGTTTTCACCAGGGCATAACTATATTGAACGTGTGTTTAACCTAGATGTTTGCTTTGCTCTTGGGGGCTTCGTAAAACAAGCCACGTGATTCTAAAGATAGTGAGCAATCAGTGAATAGTTCGTGTGGGAGGAAGGGAAGGCCAGCCGGACAGCCACGGGGCCCTGAGACACTACAGGAATGTCATCTGGCTCAGGACCCCGTCAACAGTCACTTTCCCTTGTACCAAGAAGTATTTAGTTGTGTTGTGGAAGAAAATTATGATTTTTCCAAAGAGAATTTAAAGTGTTTTCTTGTAAAACAAATGCAAATAGTTTAAAAGGACTAGAAATGTGTCTCTTTTTTGTTTGTTTATGCAATCCTAGGGTTTAAACTAAGGCCCTGGATACTGTCCCTGAACTTTTGTGCTCAAGGCTAGCAATGTACAGCTCCACCTCTGGCTTTTTGGGTGGTTAATTGGAGATAAGACTTTCATGGACTTTCTTACCCAAGCTGGCTTTGAACCTTGATCCTCAGATCTCAGCCTACTAAGTAGCTAAGATTACAGGCATGAACCACTTCCACCCAGCTATATGTCCCTTTTTTTTTTCTTTGAACCTCTACTGGGGCTTGAACTCAAGGCCTGGGTACTGTCTCTTAGTTTTATTTGTTCAAGGCTGGTGCTCTACCATTGAACCACACTGCTACTTCCAGCTTTTTGCTGATAACTTGAAATAAGCGCCTCATGGACTTTCCTGTCCTGGGTGGCTTTGAATCACAATCCTCAGATCTCAGCCTCCTGAGATTATAGATATGAGCCACTAGCACCCAGCTGAAATATGGTTTTTTTGCCTTTTTAAAAATGTTTTTTATTGTAAAAATAAAAGTTACATGAATAAGGCAATGAGTACATTTCCTGTCCAGCATTGTGACATCCTCCTTTGTTTTTCCCCTACCATCCCTTCCCTCCCCACCTCCCCAACTCCTCCCTCTCACCCCCCCCACTAAGTTGTAAAGTTCATATTGAACATAGTGTCTTGTACATCTCATTGTTACAATGGGTAAACCTATATCCTTATTTCAGCATTTTGTTATTTTCCTTCCCCTCCCCAAATTAGAAAAATGTATACACAAGATGCAGGGTACCAACATCAAATAGAGCGACAACAATGGTTATACCATGGGGAAAGAACATACAAAAGAAACAAAAAAAATCACATAGTACATTTTAAATATGTTAAAAACAATAGCAAGAAAGAAAAAACAAGTTGTGTTCCTGTCTTGGGGTTCATTTCACTTAACTTCATCTTATATGGTCATATGTGCATAGCTTTTGACATTTTCTGCTTGTCCTAGACTTATACTAGATATTGCAAATAAGGGAAACCATGGGACCTATGTTTGTTTGGGCCTGGCTTACTTCACTTAATATAATTTTTTCCAAGTCTTTC